AAATAACTCACATCGATCATAAATCAAAAAAAAAAACACAGGAACTCATATTTTATACAGTCCAATGTGCAAAAATTACGTTTTATATTATAATTTCGATATATCGTGAAAATGGCAAAGTTGTTTTCAACAAAAATGGCGTTGCTCAATAAACAATACATAAAAAACAAATAAATATATACCTATGATTCATTTTATTTCAATTTATTAGAGGCTCCTACCGAGTGTTTTAGTTATTACGATGTCGATATAATTTTATGTTATATATTTCTTTACTTTATGAAATTTCGAGTGTTTTTTTCTATATAGTAGTTATTTGAGTATAGTAATTTAGTATTTCATAATTCATATAATATGTAAATTTTATAAACTTTGTCTTACCTATTACTTTTTTCGAGCTTCATGAAGACACAAAATGTTCACATGTGTGTACTACATACATTTTCAGAAAAATTACGGAATTTGATGTTTTATAGTGTGACTCACGACGGCGATCTCAGCGAAGAGGAAGAAACATTTTTACATAATAATGTTGTAAGTTATTTATTATACTCTGGTTTTTTATTATAATTATAAATATGAGTGCATATAGTGGTTGTATAACGTGACTGATGATTATGAGGTCCCGGGTTCAAATTCTGGGTTGGGTCAATAAAATTATTTAATGAGTTTTTCCGTCAAAAAATTCCCAGTAGCAGCCTGGAGTCTGGAAGTTGGCGCTGTCTCACCCCCGCACCTCGATATATGTATCTATATATGTATATACATATTGGTATTTTATACCATTTGTATTATACACAGCCTATAAATTATCTACACCTATCATATAACGTAAACATGAACACACATATATGAAAAGGGTTTCCGGTTTTTCTCACTTACTAATTAAAAAACAGCAGTGCTATCCTGGTCAATTAAACTCATGACCATAAAAATATGTTACATGTGTATCTAAAATGTCTTATCATACTTGTTTTTCAGGAGCAGGATATGCAGTTTGCAATTTGCATGCATGTTTGATGAACAGGGACAGCAGTTGGAGTGTCCAAGTCTCCCTTTAGGACCCGCACTTTCCACTGAGCCAGCACAAGTAAATCCGCCGTTGCCAGTGTCACCATCTTTTACGTAAGTTAATTTTGTTATAATGTTTGTATTAAAGCTTTTTCAAAGAAGTATGTAAGTAGAAGCTACTACAGTTTTTAAACTTTGTCTATATTCAATGAAAATTCCTCACTCTTATAAATTAGAGATATTAAAAACCCTCCGTCTTGGGAAGAACGAGTTAGAAACCTAGCGAGACTTTTGGTGAATAGAATTAATTTACAATAAGTTTATAGAATAAAATTAGTATGAAAACATTTAGAAACAGCATGGTAACAATCTCCTCATTCCCAAGGATTATTATCAATTACATACTCTTAAGTAGTATAATAACCTTTACTAAACAAATTTTGCTTACTAAAAATTTAAACTGATTGATAAGGTCTTATATTTTCTGGCACTTTGTTGTATAAGCATATACCTACGTTGCCCCATGAAGGAATTATACTAACTCTTTGGAGTCTAGTAACTGTTGTAACTAGTTACTATTTTCATCTTTAATTCTGTGTAGTTAATTTGTATATAATTATTCTACTACACACATTTATGTATACTTAATAGTTTATAGGAGCCGTGGTAGCTGGGATGGTAGCTGGTTAGTTTAATTGTATTAATTCTTATTTGAATGGATAGTTTTATCATTAAGGGCATTTATGTAGCAGTAATTTATTTGAATCGGATATTTAATTTAGAATTTATCACAGGTAAGTTTATGTCAGGTGATAAAAATGCAATACATGAACCGTTCGACGCCGCGTCGCCGCGATGTTCCCTACTCTATGGAGTATTTTAACAGGACTTTTACTGACAGATAACTGGTTTTTTTATAGGATAGGCTGACAAACGAGCACACAGTCAATCTGATGGTAAGTGGTTGCTGCGGCCCATAGACATCTACGTCTATCCACGATGGCAAATCAAAATGCACTACTAAGATGGAGTGCCTCGTTTCCAGTAAAAAGGGTCTCCGGTTCTCTACACTCACCATACGAAACACAACAGCATTAAGCTACTATTGTTATAAGGAATAATTGGGGTTCCTCACAAATAAATTAAAACCCATGAAATTTAATGGTCATAAATTAATACGCATGCGAAGTCGCGGGGAACAGCCAGTATTACATAAAATATGTATGAACTAAGTAAATGATATTACATAATTTTATATTTGTCTTGCAGGCGAAATGTTCGTCCAGAAGTGGTCGTTGTCGTTGGGCGGTTATATGAGGAGAACGGCAACGAGTACTTGTTGGCGGACCAGCATGAACTTTATCACGAGGAGGTGGTGGCGAGTTCGAGTGGTGGTGCTGTGCGAGGCGTGCGGCTCCCAGCGACGGTAGCAGCAGGCGGGCGTCAGGCACGAGGCGACCGCGGTGCTCGCGTCTCCGCTTCCTCATGGTGGCGGCGCAGCGACCACCTTGTACAACTATGTGTGGCAGGCGATGTTGTGCCTGAGGATTTGCGCAATAGGACTTTGAGAGTGGTGGCTGATAGAGACACAGGGAGAAGGATGGAAGTAGATAATGATGACTTGGCGGATGGCATTGGACATGCGGCCCTATTCGAAGGATATGCGACTTCTCTTCACTTTGATCGGCGCCCCATGGACACCTTTCAAGGTGAAAAAAAAAAGAAACATTTCTTCCGGAAAGAACAACAAGCCAACCACGCCGTCCGGAAGTGCGTGTGAGGCATTCATGGGAGCATCATGTCTCATGTAGCGACAGAAATAAACCGGTACGCTGTAGAACTGGCTTGTTACGTTTGCACAAAATTGGTATGAAACAAATACACGTAAGCTATATATCCTGTTCTCTTTTTGGATGATGTTGGGGATCATCCATATGCCCTGCATAGCATCTTATTTTTCTGAAAATTCTCTATTGAAGACCAATATTTTCCGCCAATTGTTTTCACGCCATACGTAACTGCCACACGTAAATAACGCAACACGTACACTTGATCCTCACCCTATCTTTCCTATTGAAACAATTATAAATAATTTGAATTCCCGCTTTCAATCCGCTTATTTTCTTAAACAGGAAATACGTATTGATGAGAGCTTAACTTTATGGAAAGGTAAACTCTCATTCAAACAATATACAAAGACTAAAGCGGCCCGATTCGGAATAAAAACTTTAGAATTGTGCGAGTCTGCTACGGATACATGCGGTTGTTTTTCGTACACCCTGGTAAGGAAAATATCCCCGATCGATCCTCGATTTCCATCGTCACAACGTGAGTACTAAAACTGTACTCAAACTCATTTGGCCACTTCTCAACAAATGGTGTATTCTTTTTATGGACAATTGGTTCAATTGCCCAATCCTGGCGAGGTTTTTGAAGAAACGTCGAACCGATTGTGTGGGAACAGTACGACCCAACCGTCAAAATGTGCCATCTCTGGTGTCACTTTGTAAGCAGGTCAGTTCTTGGCCCGGCACTCGGGTGACGTTGTTATAATGGCGTATCAAGATAAAAAAAGTATTCCGTTAATCAGTACGGACTATGGCATGGCAGTGGAAACCCCAGTTGGTTCTTGATTATAATAAGAATATGGGTGGAACTGATCGTAAAGATCAAATGCTAGAACCATATTTATTGGAGAGAAAACGTTGTGCAAAATGGAACATGAAGCTCTTCAAGAGGCTTTTAAATGTTACCATTCTTAATACTAGAATCCACTGAAAAAATCCTGCAACGAACGGAAACATCATTTGCCTCTTCGTTTACAATTACTTTAAGACATTATTGATAAACACCTTCATCAAGTGCCGCACTGTCATCGTGAGATTAACCCATGTTCGCGACACATTCACGACACAAGCGTCTCAAGGGCAGATCGCGACAGCGATTTGTCCTCGAGACGCTTGACGAACAGTGTTCGCTGGCCTATCAGATTTCAGCTTCAGCAGCAGCTTGTGTCACTCTATCGCCTATTAATCATAACTGACAACTAACATCACGGTGGAAAATTTTTTGTCAATGTCTAATAAGTAATCGACGTGACAAAGTAAGTGATTTTTCACTGTAGTTTTATAGACCTGTAACGTCGGTCATGGTTATTAAAAATAACACTTCCCCGAGCCTAGTTGCCTTTTACGACACACGGCGTGATATGGATATTCGTACATTACAATGTTTTGAGAAATTATCAATCACCGTGTAATGAAACGATCATTGATAAATTCTCAAAACATTTCACTTGGCAACGTGAATTGTCGACGTCTTGCAATCGTCGTGACTAGCGCTCACTTCACTTTCATACAAACAATTCGATATTTTAAGTGTTAAATTGGTAATTTCTCAAAACATTTTATTTATCGACAAATTATTGCAATCTTGTACCCTAGCGCTGACTTTTAAAGAAAAAATATTGTCTTTGGCTTGAACACAGGTTTGACTAATTGGTTTATTAAACTGTCAAGTCAATCATGAGTGGTTAAATTACATCAAATTATCCCTATTTTTATGAGTTATTTTCACCTTTAGACTAATATAAATTGTCGGACTACTGGGAAGAAGGGTGTCTGGTAGTCGTTGCTAAAATTACAAAAATACAGCATTATTATGCTATACGTATTTTACGATATAATTCCAAATAATTATATGGGCGAATTAGTAGCATCGTGACTTTGCTACGTATTACAATGGAAGGGAATATGGAATGTTTATTTTGATGTTGTAATATTAATATGCACTTAGTGGTCGAATTTAAAGGTAACTCGTAAATTTTACGTTACAGTTTTGGCAAACTTTATACGTGGTAGTCACGCTGCAACTGTATTATGGTTGCTGCACGAATGGGTCGGCTCGACCGCGGAAGGACCACGCTCTCACAGAGTACCAGCGTAAAATCGCAACTTAATGCTGCTGTGTTTTGTATGGTGAGTGTAGAAATCCGGAGACCCTTTTTTTACTTTAAACGAGACATTCCATCTTAGTCCTCAGAGGTGACAACGCATCTGCATTTTGATTCTTAATCGAGGATAAATGTTACTCTTACTAATGTCTATGGGCCACAGCATCCACTTACCATCAGGTGGACTGTTTGCTCGTTTAACCTTTTGAGCGCCAAAGTCGTCTATACGTGACCAGCACCCGCGTGCCCTGAGCGCCAACGACGTCTATAGAAGACAAAAAACCCGGCCCACAAAAATATGAAATATAGACATTGGAAAATTATTACTGGTATTTTAATTCTACACCCCTCAAAAAAGAATAACCCAGCAACATGTGAGTATAAAAAACAAGTCTCCTAGAGCCACAAGTACTAAGAAACATTGAACTAAAAAAAAATGGATTTTTATCTAAGCAAATACTATGTCCAGCACGCCAAAGTCGTCTGTGTTAGACCGCTAGTGTTTTAATGCGTTAGGCATAAATTTATTGAAAACTATTCAAAATTAAGCTCAAACGTGTTATTTTTTTTTCTGTTATTATTGATATTTAAATAAAACAAAAGGTTAGAAATACAAAACTATAATTAGCTACATGAATTTAAAAAAAATTAACAAATTATCTTCGCATAATAAATCTAACATCTCAACTCTGGCGCATCCTTAGCGCGACATCGAAAATAGATCAGCGTAAAATATCAAAAATTGAATTGAGTGCCGCTTGATAGGCACCCTCCGAGCTTTATTGCGTGATTCATCCGACCCGTCTGCTTTTTGCTTTTGAGCGAATTGTATTATACTGATCTAAGGAATAATTTTTTACAATGTTATAAAACAATTTCAACTTTTAACATCATTAATTACGTATGTCCTACTTTGTAATCATTACTAAACACATCCTTGTTCTCATATCAGTAATGTGTAGAGGTCTGTTCCTGGCAGTTTTTCCTTAGATATTTTAATAGGTACATTTGTCTGTTTGTATCGACTTAAAAAGTATGCGACAAACTAAAGTGAAGTCAAAGTAATTTTCTTAAATGGAATCTTTGTAAGTGCCAAAAAACTTTATGCTAGCGACGTCCATTTCCTTTAGTTCGTTAGTCGAATGAAATTGTTCGTAAAATTTGTTCACCTGCGAATAAACTTATAACTAGGTATATTTTTTTAAATATTCATATGTATACTTTTTGTTGTATATTTAGTTAATTACGTTATACATATTTTCAGTTTTACGTGATTTTGTGTCACAAAGTATTACATTTAAATTTAATTGCTTTTATTTTCATTAATAAAGATAAGAAGAATTTTGTGATGTTGGCCGGGAGTTGTTTCAACAATTTAAGTTATGAAGATAACAGAAGAATTTTTTATGTAGCGTTTGTCTATCCTCTTCGTATTTTTAAGGATTGAGTTCTAAAAGCTTTTTTCACGCTTAGAAAAATGTAAAAACTTTCTCATCTACCAGATATCAATTCTGAGTCTCGATTTTTTCTATGAGATCTTAGAAAAAATTATAAGCAGTCTAAATATTTTCTGTTGGACATATTATCTTCCTCTCAATATTGGGAATGGAAACGCCCACGTATTTCAGAGACATAACAAGTATATTATATATTTTTATTCATTTTCTTATTTTATTACCCATATATTAATCCATTAGTTGGGGTTCCTACATCATTTTTCTTTAACTGTAAATGAATATTAATCAAAGCAATGAACTTTAGTTTTTATTCAAATAAATAACTAGGATGAAATATGTTGAATATGTTTTAAGTCATTCATAATTTCTAACTTCCTTTATTTACGTAAGGCGTTGGATTTGTGTAGGATTTACAAATATATCTTCAGAGCCGCGGGCGATATCCGTAAAAAAAATAGAAATGTATGCCAGAAATAAATAGACCGATAAACAGAAGAAATGTGATGAAATTGTTAAAAATTGTTTTATACAACAATGTAAGGTCTTAGTTGGTAGTGCCACGCTGTAACCATTTCGATTCAAATCTCACAGAATACCTAAAATAAAACAGGTGTATAAATAATATAGGTGTTTCTTATGGTGAGTGTAGAGTATCGGGGATCAAATATCTGGCAACGAGTGATTCCGTCTTAATCCTCAGGGGCATATACAGTTTGATTCTCAATCGATACACATGGATGAATTTTAACAGTGGTAGAGCCATGCGGCAGCTTTGCTGTTGCACGTATGGGCCGGCTCAAACCGGAGTGGTACCACGACCTCAAAGAATACCGGCGTGAAGTGGAAGCTCTGCTTCGCGTTTCGTCTGGTGAGTGCAGGTGGCCGGAGGCCCAAATCCCCCCCCCCCCCCCATCAACATGGTAGCGGAATTAAATAATGATAGACTACCCCAGGAGGGTACCAGCACCCCTGGAGAATCCCTCGCTGAGCATCCACGACCGTATTTCTCCAGTTGTGAGCGTGGGTGCTCAGGCTGCCCCGCGTATTCTGGGGGGGGGGGGGGGCAAAATTCCACTCAAGACTACAACTGCTCGGGGCAAACGGAGCAACAATACCAAGGCAACCCCTGCCACACTGTCCGTGAATTTCTGCAATATCAGGGGACTTCACTCTAACCTAAAAGCCGTCCACTACCATCTCGAGACGGCGAGGCCGGCTCTGCTCTTTCTGACCGAGACGCAGGTGTCCTCTCCGACTGATGTCTCGTATCTTTCCTACCCGGAGTACAAACTGGAACGCTCCTTTGTGCCTCGGGCTGGAGTTTGCGTTTACGTCAGAGAGGACATCTGTTCTCGACGCCTCGGCAAACTT